TAGTCGCGAGACAAATACAATCTTCTTGTCCCGGTTGATTTGCGTACCAATTCGCCAGTGCGGAAGATAAACTGAAATCAATTGAAAAGCGCTTTCTTCGTTGAATTAACTTTTCAGCTTTTGATAATGTTTCCTTTATTTGTGCATACATGTCGGGATGTCCTAAGTTGATTCGAACAATGAAGCGGTTGTATCGTGCCCGCTTGCGAAGTGCTCGTTTTGATTTGACTCGTATTCTCATATAGATCGGTTTACTAAGCATCTTGTCTTTCATGCGTTCAAACTCTTCCATACTTGTCACCTTCAGTATTCTCGAAGACTTTGCAAATGTATCTCCTCCTTTGCACACCAAAATGGCATCATCAGGATTATGCCTTAACTTCCCATCTATTCCTTTTGTAAATTCATTTGGTGGATTCCACAAAAACTCTTTTTCGTCTGTAAATAATACTGATGGACTATCTGTGATCTCCATTATTTACGAGCAAAATACACTAGAAAAATATTTATAAAAACGTGACTTAGTTGATCGAAAACTCGAAAATTGTGAGTATATACCAGTGCTTCCAACCTAAATCTATTCAATCACATGAAACGATTTAGAGTCGATTGTTTTTTAACAAAAACCCAAAATTTACTGTTTTCATTTTCTAGTTTGTTTGATATTTGTAATGAAGTTTTGCTCAATAATAATATCACAGCCAAAAAACTTGTTTTGCTTCAATTAATACCAGTACGCCACTATTTCAAATCCTCGCTATGGAAATAGGCGCAGTTTTTTCACTTTGAGTTAATTTTTGAGAAAATAAATTGTATGTAAAAATGGGTAATTTTGTGACCATACAGGGCAGGGGTCGGCAACCTACGACCTAACCTACGGCCGCGGGCCGGATCCGGCCCGCGGAGAAATGCAATCTGGCCCGCGCGCCTCACTGAATTATAGTAACAAAACAGCTGTTTTGACTATTATATTCTTTAAGTAACAGAATTTATTGTGAGTTTATTGTGTGTTATTATTGTGAGTCACGTGTAGACTAAATTATATTATAACCTAACAAGTATATAATTCACAATTACTGAGCCCAAAGTTTAATTATAATTAGACAAATGGTAACAAAACGCAGAAAAGTTTGTGCTAAGTACAAAGGGTTCAATGTCGCCGAAAATATCCAAATGGAATTTTTTGAAATGCAGTAAATGAGGAAATAAATCTATACTATATTTGAAAGGTGTGTCACTGCTTGATTTTTACCTATAAAAAGTATCATCCGTTCGGTTTTCAACTTTCTAAAAATGCGTGCGGCCCGCGAGCGACAAAAGGTTGCTGACCCCTAATATAGGGCAAAAGCATTACATACCGTCTAGTATTTGAAACAATTTGAATGTCTTCCCTATAAAATATACACTATATAATATATCTGTAAAAGCATATGATTGGAATAGCGCATTGATTAAGCTTTTCATTCCCGCGCCTATTTCAACGTCCGTCGATTACAATGCATGGTTGCAAGGTGAGGCCGCCAAATACCAACCAATAACATAGACCAGGCCTGTCCAACCTTTTTCATCTCGCGGGCCACTTTCACATGACGAAATTTGTTGCGGTCCGCAAACGTTTGTACCAAACTTTAATACCAGCCAAGTCATGATTTTGTTCGAATTCACATAATATATAATAGGCAAGATTATTAACATAAAATCAATCAAGTTAATAATTATTTACTGGTTACTGATTAGTGCTGGCGGAATATTCGAATATGAAGTCGAATATTAGAATAGCAGTTTACTATTCAAATATCTGGTAACATAGGGCGTGGACATGAAACTCGCGGGTCGCTGATTTAAAAAAATCGATCATTACCCAACGCGCTTGTGTATTTCTGACGACCACACGAGAATCTGCACAAAGTTTTCACTAACAAACAAAGACGTATTTTCAGTGGCTATGACATTGTCTCAATGAGCGTAATGTGCACCAATGTCGCGGAAACATCAAGTTTTATTGGGCCGTTTCGTAAAATTTGAAACATTAATATACAAGTATTTAGTGAAAAAAAACATTACAATAACTTCTGGACGAATATATATATATAATATACTAATTCGCATATGTAGAATTACCATTAGGTCTATTTTATCAGAATTATTGACAGATACGCAGTGACGATATTCCCGACATTTTATTCAACGCAAACATAACATAAACAAAAATACAAACATAAACAAAACGAGTCCCGGAGTCAGCAGCAAAGATATTGTTCACTATTTATTTTACTTTGGCAACAAAGACGATCAAAGCCTACACGTAATAAAGCTTTCAGAATGAAACTAATTTGGAAATTTAGGTTCCAAATTCCTTCCTATAATTGCGCTCAACGTTCGTCGCCAATGATTGCACAATATCTTTGTAGTTCGTCGACCATAACGCACAGTTCTGCGAAAAAAAAAAACTTAACGTCGATGTCCATCAGGGAGCAAGACTTGATGCATACGTAGAAATAAGAATCGGCATCCGGATGTAGATAGATGGCGGGAATAATCACACTAAATTCACGGAACATATTCAAGCCTATATATAACATAGTGAAAATTTGAAGAAAAGTCCGCTTGCAAAATTGGGCGGGCCGCGAGTTGGGCACCCTTGACACATACATGTTAGCATAAGATCTGGACAAGGCTTGATTTAGCCTACTTCTCCTTATGCTCGCTGATACGCTCCTACATTAAAAGGTATGTCAGCATTGTTCCTCACCAACTAACAACACAAAATATGAAGGATTGTGAATGCCGCTACTCTTCCAGTGTTCTAGTTCACTTCACTACAATACATGCCTTACCACCTGGCTTACTTAGCTTGACAGTAAAACAGTTGATTTCTGCCTTTAAAAAAGGCGTGAAATAATGAGCTTCTGTAAAGCAATAGTAGATTAAAAAAAAATCGGTAAAACGCAAACATCAGTAAAAAAAGCAATAGTAATCGCTCGTCGAAATACAATAGTAAATTCGTTGCGCCACATTCCATTCGACTTTACCTTAAGCCGCTATGTTACGTAACAATCGTCCCCGACGAGTACTAAACCTTACAGATCGGAAATGCTTGATCGCGCAAAGAAAATAAAGTAGGCTACGTGTTATTTTCCTAGAGACAAAGCAGATGGGGGAAATATAACAAGCCAGCAAACATTTAAGCACCGTCATTGTCAGTAACAATTAGCCGTCTCAGAATTGGCTTTAAAACTGATTTCGTGTCATCTTTTACGTCCTAAATGACATGGCAAATATATATATATATATAATTATGACACTGTTAGATAAAAAGGAACTATAAAATATAAAGATACATGTATAAAAAATTTTGCACCAGTGACATAGCAACCTAAGGTTGTAAACTATTTGACAATTATATCTCTGTAATAGTTTGATACAGGAAGTCGTTGGTAGGGTTTCGTTTTTTATCAAAAAACATCATGTTTTAAAACGAGGGCTAGTTTTAAAAAAAAATTTTCTGTATTTTTTGTTTTTATCATTGAAATACCCTTTGCATCGTCGTGAAACTACGCCAAAACGTTGCGTTCTGGCAGCTGCAGCTTCCGTTCTCTTATGCGGCCGGAAAAATAATTTCAAAAATGTAAGTAAAAATTCTTGCTCTGACTTTGACTTCAATTGCGTATATTTATCACCAAGTTTGTATCTACACCAAAGTCATAAGATTTTGACGGATATGTTTAACCGAGATATCAGAGAGACGTTTTCAGCAAGAAAAATCATGAAACTCCCGAGCCAACTGTAATCCAAAAGCAATTGGATCCAGTCAGCCTTCGGCAAAACGATTGCGTTACGATAATGAAGAATATACTTACATCGGCGACAACCTACTGATTTAAACAATGAGACAACCTAGCCTATGCTAATTGTAAGAGACCTCAGAAGCAATGACGCCACAACTAATCTGCTATGACGGCATAATAATGATTTCGAGTTTATGTATTGATATTTTTCTCATAAAATAAATGAAATATTACGCCCAAAAGTAACTGTTTGGTTAATTTAGGCTTAGTATACTTTGTTTTTTAATGTTAAAGTTGAAAATTTATTCAAACTTATTTATTTGATGTATTTCAATTTTCGCATAGTGGCTTCGTCTTTCTGCGGCAACCACGTTTGTGGACTCGTCGAACTACATCTTGAGAAGGCGTGCATGGGCAAGTCATCGATATTTGTGGCGTTTCGAAGGATTTTTTTCGAATAAGAAGCGCTTGGAAAGTTCTTAAATCCATTTTTTTTTCAACCTATTTAATACAAAAAAAAATCAAATAGTAAAGCCATTTTAAACAAAACAGGTAAAAAAAAACTTGATTTAAAGCGATTATTTTCTGACAAATCACTAGTCGTTGGTGTCTAAGGTAGCCTATTTATCAGTCCATGCTCGACACGAATAAATTACCAATGGCCGAATATTTAAGCAACAGAATACTAGGTGCGAAGATTTCATCAACCGATAAATAAATTATTAACTTTGACAGCAGTAATATTTTACTTTAACTTGAAAGTATTAAATCTTACGATGGTTTCATATACTGGTAAGCACCATTTTCGGTACCGAAAGAAATACGCTTGCCACGTCACCTTCGATTACTCCGTGTGGATCTTCAGAACGCCGTGGGGGTTAATTATATGCGAGGATGGACCAGCGCTACCGGAGATTGGTTCTCGTAAACGCTGGTCTGTTGATCCTTCCTGCACCATTAGGTCCACGGACGTGAAAATGGCTAACTAGTCTCATAACAGACGTGGAGGGACAGTGGTTCACCATATGATTAAACCAACTTATCGGCTTTCCTCTCGACAAGATAAATATGTAAATCATATCTTTAAAACCTTCACAGGTAAGACAGAGCGACAAGGATAAAAAGATAAAGATGACATATCACCGCACCAATATCTTCTTTTGAAACAGATTAGACTTAATCATGTAAATTCCGAAATAGGACAAAAACAAGCACATTGCAAACATGCATATATTTTATAAGTAACGGAGATTGACCAAGATACCAAATGCAACGACCATTCAACACAATATGATTATTTATTGATACTTTAATCCAGCGGTACTCACCGGGGGTTAATTTACCCTTCCGGCATGAAGCTGACCTGTATTGGGATGAATTTTGCATACACGAAAGTACACGACAAAATGTGGCCATTTCACCCCTAACAGATTGCGACATAATAGAAATTTAAACGCTCTTGGCTGTGTTGCGTTTTAGATTGTTACACTTACACTGCGGACAGAATTCTATCTTAAGTAACTTTTTATATTTTACTTATTACCCACACGAAAGAGACAGCAAACAAAATTATAGTTTTTAGAATTTGCAATAGGGTAAACCAGAGAATAATCGATGCAATTTGCAAACCCTTAATCTTATACGGAAACAACATAAAATACATTGTACTGCATACACAATATATGCTTTGTTGCTGTCTTTATAAACAATAATCCCTTTTTGCCAAGGATGAAGATTTTTGATTTAGACTTGAGGATTTTGGAATCCGCCAGTAACAGACTATCACACCAATGACTTCTTCTTCTTCAAAAAAAAAGTTTTTAAAAACACATACCATCATTTAAACTAGATAGAAAACACATACAGAATTCTGAAACTTAATCAGATTTTACATTGGCAAGTAATCCAAAATTGTATAGGATTGCTATTCAAAAAACTCACAAAATAAGTGAAATACACCTATCAATCGATAAGGTAATATGATAAAAAATTAAATCTAGTGTAAATATGGCCAATGGATATGATTGTTTGATTAGCTTTGAAGTGTTGTTTATACTAATTAGTATGGTATTAAAATAGGGAGAAGCATTTTAAGTGAATATCAAAGGCAGTAATATTCGGAATCATTAATTTTTCGAGATAGGAGGCGCCTTCATTTTAACACGTATTTAATTGGCAGTTTAATTGAGGCAGTGTCTTAGATCAGGTGTGTGCAAACCGTGGCATGTGGCCCAAATGACGCCCACAAGAAAAAAATTTCGCCTTATCTGGCCCGCCTGTATTGACGGTTGCACACCCCCGTCTTAGATCAAGCAACAGTGCACTTTTATTCACAAAAAGTGAAATTAAATATTTAAAATGCAGGAAAACCATGAATTGGGAAAAGTAAGTTGTGATATTTCATAATCAAACTTACCAGAATAATTAATTATATATATTGAATTAAAATTTCCGCTGTGCCTACGAATATTGTCTACAATATGGTGAATTGCAGCATACCTAAATTCTCATTTAAAAAATTGAATGAAGACCTGAGCAAGGCTGCAAAATTGGAGTATGGTGTATTTTACGGTATTGAGGTCTGGTTCCGAGTGGTATTCAGGAATCGGTCATAAAACTTTGGGACTTTGGAGCGCCGACGATATTGAGTGTGTACTTCACACTTTTCAACAATTGCAAACACAATCATATATTGATTATCACATAGTTGGGAGAGTTTTACATCAAATCAAAAACACTATTAGAATCTTCATTAATATTGATAACTTTTGTACGTTTTCTTGGAGGTTCTTTGACAGTGCTGTTGCTAATTTCCGACAGTTTTTTACGTTTCATTCGTTTATTTGATTCTGGTGAAACAACCTGCATCAAAAAAGAGGAGTTACAGATCAAATAAATTATCAATTAGGACCATATACCAGAGGCTTGATAAACCTTACAAATAAAGTGCCTTAAACTTGAAAAGCCCTTGGGGGATTGCTCATACAGGATAAAACTACTTCCCATTTGGTACAGTGAGTTCCCTTTTCACAGATACCACACACAAGAGCCTGCTGTTTAAGGATCATGTTTGAACAAGCGATGCTTGAATATTGGTTGAACACACATTCCTTGCAGCGCAGGCATATCGGTAAGATGTGATCTTCAACTCAAGAAGTGGCGATCGACTGATCACCCATGCTTTACATAGTTATGTAAAGCAAAAACGCAAAATTGTTATTTCATAACTTTATGACAAAAACAAATGAAAGTTACCTTAAATAACATTTTATCCGAATGTTTCGGTCCATTCACGTTCTTAATTCCTGGCAAGGAAGCAAGTTTGGTCAATACAACTTGTGAACGAGATAAGAATGAACCTCGGTGGCCCTAAACATGAAAATATTTAGGGGTACATTATTACAAATTGTCAAGAATCGTATTCTTCAATAAGTAGCTGGTTGCCAAGACTACAAGTGAAAGTGAAGAGTTTTAATAGAAGAGTTGCAAGTAAACTCAAGCTACGAGAGCGAATCTCACACACAACCTTCTGCTTGTCCTGGGTTTTGTTGAGAGCAATCACACAAAATAGTAATAACAAATCAAAGACAGATCAATATCAATATAGCTAATATGAATTCGATATATCAATACGGTAAATACCTATTATTGAAATCTATATACTTCATAGACCATGCATATTCAACTATAATGGTCTTATAAGAAGACGACAAAAAACCTGAGCCAAAATGTTACTTACCTTATTTTTAAAACTGTCTCTGCTGCAAGATGACTCATCAACAGACAAACAAACTAAAACAGAATAAATTGTTTAAAAAGTTGTTGAAGAAATGTAATTGTGACCTAAAAATGATTACATAGCGGTAGATAGAAAGAAAACTATCGAGAGATACACTGAGCTGGTTATCTTGTAATCTTGTCTGGATACATCGTTAAGAGTTAGGAACAAGCTTGCTATATGACACAGATTCACATGTACCAACCCCCATAGGAGTAATTATGAGTTGTAAGATCACTGGACTTCTCTCAGCCATAGGATGGTTCATATGAACTGCAAAATAATTACATATTCCACCACCATTATATCCATGCATTTGAAGTAACCTGTAAATATTCCCATACCTGACAAGGACTTAGGGAACCGGACAAAGAGCTGTGGTTTTGATTAAACCATCTTATTAACTTTCCTCTCCCCTCTACTGCATTTATATTAAAAAGCTGAACAAGCCACATACTTGTAGTATTTCAATGTACGTTTCTTCAATAAGATATTGAAATATATCCACAGTACATTGAGGTCAAAATTGACAACGATCATAGTAAAACAGAATTTACAAACCATTCCTAATTTTTTTCGTTGCTTTGTTTAAATTCTCTGAATTACCATCAGTGATAGGTCCGGCAATAGAATTCTGTCGACTTAATATAACTTGACGACCTAAGTTGATAAGCTGTGAGTCTTCGGATTGTAAGCTACAAAAGTGGAAAAATTAGACAAAATTTGTACAACAGACAAGATGTGAAATTTTTCTATCGCTTGTCACTTTTACATTGACGAAAGACTAATTACAACATATAACCAATTTTAACATTTATGGAATTCGGAACTAAAAAAGGCAAAAACAACGCTATTCTGTACTACTGAATCCAATCTTCAATGATCAATACCTGGGAACTTCATTCTTCTGTAAAAATTCCTCTCTTTCCAATCGTTCTCTCATCCACTGAGTATCTTCCGGTCCTTCGGGTAGAGGATTTTCTTTGTTGTCACCTTCTTCATCGTCAGATTTTAAAATATCTTCAGTCATGGAAGAATCTAAATATAATAAATAACAAAGTAAATATTCCAGTAAGAATCAACTTTAAGATTTTGGTTTTAAACAAGACTTTGTACATGAAAAACGGAAGAGGTAGAAAGATTAAAATTAAAAGGAGATACAAGTCAAAATCAAGTGTTAGAAATAGAAGTTCTGATATACGTGATGCATGCATAAGCTAAAAAAAACACAATGCGAATCAAGAATTGCTAAACTTGCAGTAAATATGCAACAAGTTTATTATTGATTTAGACATTGATTAAATATCTAATGATCCACGTTCTCTATTTTTTTTAAAAAATGAAAATAAACTTCTGACTCACACATTAAAAAAAAGGTCGCATGCGAGGTATAAGGTCTCATGAAGAGTGAAAGTATAAGTACACTTGTTAAAGAAAAATGAAAATGGAAAAAATTTTACGAGAAGAAATTTTGACTTACCAATATTTTTCCATCTAAATTTTCTTTCTCTCTGTGCAATTTCCTCTCCGCCGAGCAAAGCTTCTTGTAACAATTCAATATCTCTTTGATCATCTTCTTGTTGCTGCCGACGTTGGACACGATTAAGTTGTCGAGCAATTTCTTCTTCTTCTGGTAATTCCTCTACCGGTTCATCTACTTCATACTCATCAGGACCGGCTGAAATAATTTTGAAAAATATTTCAATGATATTTAGTCAATCTGTTATGTGGTTGCGGGTTAAATAAGATATTAAAAAAGCCTCCGTAGTATCTGTTCATAGTTTGAAGCAATAATCACAAAAGTATTTCAAAGGAAGTTTAGAGGAATTTAAAAATCAAAAGATAGACTATCTTCAATAGTTTAGAACAGGGTTTACCAAACTACAGCCCGCGAGTCAGAACCGGCCCGTGGTGTCCTTTCATCTGGCCCGCTATGACAAGAAAAAAATGGCAAAATTTTTTCCAATGAAGGTTTCCCCAATATTCGACTTCCTTGTTTATTTTGTAACATTGGCCAATCATCAAGATGCAAAAAGTGACGTAACTTCGCACCCGCTCAGACACTTATGTCACTTAGACAGTTTATTTAAGTTAAATTTGAATATGAAACAAATAAGTCAATCATCATTTTGCCTTCTTACGGAGTTGTAGTTTAATTGCAGTAATCAAAAACTAGTCTAGAAATGGCAATGATAAAATAGGCTAAAATTCTACTATTGAGGTGTATAAACACCTCAATGACTCGTTCCCTCCTGACGCTCGCTTTTGGCGAAACTGTCGAACGTGCATTTTGCGCTAATAGTACTGTAATCTCTTGTGTACTGCTCCAATTTCACAAGTCACATTAACTTTTGTACTGCTTACATGTGGATATTCATGACATCAATGTTTTGCTAAGTTACCAGATAGTTGTCTAGAAATCTTGTATATTTGTTTTGCTATTATGTTCTCAATCTATATTCTGTGATATAGAATTTAATATTCAAGTCTTCAAAAATGTTGAATTTATATTGTTGAATAAATTGAATAGATTCCCCAACTTCTGTGAAATCATTGTATTGCATTGAAATAATATTTGTCTGGCCCGTTTTCAACAAAGTTTGAGTCATACCTGCCCACGGTCAAAAAAGTTTGGTGACCCCTGGTTTAGAACAACATTTTCAGGTTTCGCCCCTTGGGGTTTAAGGTTAAATTAAAGCCCTCAATATAACGATTCATGTATAAACTACCAACCATCCTCATCTTCGTCTCCACTTCCTTCATCACTTCCAGACAATTCAGCTTCATTTTCAAGGAATTCTCGAGCGATTCTTTGACGAGTGTATTTCTTTTTTCGAACAATTAGCATCGGCTCATCATCGTCATCTTCGTTGTCATCCTTGTCAACCTAAAAATTGAAATCCACAGTTAAATCAAGTAGACCTTTGGATCGTTTAGCATAATTGTTGTTGTTGTTCTTGTTGCTGTTGTTGGTCGTTGGAGCGTTTTTTTATAGTGCGATCTCTTTGACGACCACGCCAATTGATTTAAAATTGTCACTACCTACAGTTGGAAGTAGGCAACTGGTAGGTACTGCAGTTAGATATGAGACTACCTGGCCATTATATTTGAGCTTCGCTCTCAGAGACTCATTATTGTAACCGTCTTACTAGTGCTAATAAGACAGAATAATCACTCTGTCTAGGTTAAATTTGAGACAAATTGCTTCCAATTTATGTGCAGTTAGAAGATTTAAAAAGAGGAGTATCTGCCAAAAGGTTATTAATTTAATATTTTATCAATGCAGTTTTGAATAAATTTTAGCACTTATAAAAATAGCGAGACACCACACAAATATTTTGCCACCAAACTTTAAAGTAACCTCAACTCAAAGCCTAATTTATGTCTAAATATTTAGGCATTGTGCTTTTATATAAATGAAAAACTAAACTCACATCAGAATTCTCATGGTCTGAGAATTGACTTTCTGGGTCTGGTTGACTTTTCTTAGGATTTCCTAAAAAAATCAATAACTTTGTTACAGTTTTGAATTTAATAGATGTGCAAAGATAAATAAAAAAAAACTTCAAATTACAATCTAGAAAAATTTATCGTATAAGTATCAGATTTAGGAAAACATTTATTTTTATTTAGAGTGGTACAATGGCATGGTGGTTGAAAAATTAGACCTAAATGTGTTGGTATCGAAGACTACATATCTCAGATTCAAATCCCATGTCCTAACCTCACCTAGGGTGTAATGAATTTAGTAGGCACTGCGGAACCAAAAAAATATTCCGTTCCATCCAAAAAATAGCCTTTTTTTGCATATCAGATAATAGTATTACTTGTATAGACTACCATGTTCGGAAAAAAGCGTCAATAGGCGTTCTAAATAAAAATCACACAAAAACATCAAATATTTGAGCTTTTGCTGTCACAAGGTACAAGTCTTACAATTTAGAGTTGCTGTGAATATTACCGCTTTGTTACATCACAATGCAATTTCACCAACAACTTAAGTAGAAATCTAGCTAGTACAAATTTGGCAATGAATTAAAGTCTTTTCGGTTCGGTATTACCTACCCAATTTATTACCATTACCACACGATTGCGTTTGGGGGTTCATGAACCCGAGGTGTGTAACCTACGATGCCATCATGCCACCACAGTTCAGTGTAACGCTTCAACTGGTTGGCCATAATTACTCGATCCTTCGATTCATTTACCTGACAATATATTGAAACCGAAGCTTTCATCAACATCAACATTATTTGTTCTGAACAAATCTGCAGAGTTATCATCATGATTTGTGACATCGCAATCAGTTTTGTCTTTGTCATCTTGTGTGGCATCATTTGTTGCGTCTTTCGTATCCAATGGTGCAATTGAGTCTGCAAATAAATATTCATGATATTTTGTCATAAATTGTCATCTGTCATAAATTGTAGTACTTACTAATGGATAATAAAATATGAATAAAAGTGGAAATGTATGAATAAATAAACTTTTGGTAAATACGACTGATCGATGATGTCATAACCATTTTTTTTACAATATTTTAGGTGTGTTGACAACCATACACATTCACAACATAGGGTGTCATAAATATTATAATTTTGTGTTTCACATCAATGACTACATTTACTGCAGAAGCTCGGCCAATGGACCTTCCACGAGTTAAAACTGGATTGTTTCGTCTGATTTCTGACAACCCTAGTGTTTATATATATACATGACGCTTATTCACGTCGTTTCCATTGAATGAGCGACCGACCACCTAATATCGAACGATATGTAAGGTGGTACTATTTATCTAGATAATCAGAATCACTTCAATACGCCATTGTCCACCTAATATATCTCCCCCCTGGGTGAGGTGGTAGGCGTTGGATTTGAACTCGAGATGTATAACCTACGATACCAACATAGTTAAGTCTAACGCTTAAACCAATAAGCCATTACATCACACCCACCTACAATGAAATAAGAGATAAAGTAAGTATAAGAATGTCATTAAATCTATATGGCTTAAATTAAAATGTAGTATACCTGTGAAGTTTCCTGTACAGAGACCAATCAGATCTTGAGTATGATTAATCGCCGAGTCATTTCCTGAATTCATGAGTCGTGAGATTTCTGGTTTCCTCTGAGATTTTGGAGCTGTTAAAAGAAGTATTTTTATTAAATTCCACAAATAAATTGAAAAAAACTTAGGTACGAATAATAAGTCAGGTATACATACTGTCAAATGGAGCAGAGCAGAGACCTAATAGTTGCGACATGTTGCAGTCCGTCATTGCATTGTCATCTTCAGCACCAGGGGGCAGTAAGGTTCGCTAAACAACAAGCATCGTAGCGTTAATTGTAAGTACAAAGTTGACTGGGACTACATATCAGCATAACAGGTAATGAAATAATACATGAAAATAGAACAAATAATCAAAGTTTACAGAGCTGAGCACACAAAACCTTGAATGAGGTTTAAAATGTACAAAATATAAAAAAAAAAATTTCGCCAAAAAAAGTTTCACCAAACATTAAAAAGTGAAAATAATTCCTACACCCTCACAAGGACACAAAAAACCATTAAGATGTAATAAAATAGAAGAATGCAATTAAGGATAATAAAAAATGCAGAAAAAAAACATGAATATAAATTTTTGTTTCATCGCATTAATAATAATAAGGATGAGCGAAGGATAGTTAAACTAGAATACTTATTTATTAAACAGATCTGATAAAAAAATTATTTAAAAAATGCACCAACAAGCTTAGTATTGTTGAAGACTGATAATGTTAAATTGCTCAATCAAAATCATTACAAATTGAATATATGTAATGTGGACTAGAAGTTCATTCCACCTGCTACATTTATTCAATAACCTAACAATTCTTAGAAATTTTGACAATGTTTTTAATTTTTTTATAAGAATCGGCTTTATAGAAATAAGAGATCTCTTGTCACTTATTTATGTCAGTGACAATGCTGATCAGTGAAAAATACATTTAGACCACCTTTGCTGCAGGTTTGCTGATGCTACTCTCCTTTATAAATCCATCAGCATCAAGAAACTGACTTTGTGAAGCTTCAAAATCAAGTCTGAAAGGTTGGGATAGAGATCGAGAATCTGATTCAAAACAAGTGTCGTCAAATTCCCCTTGCTATAAAACAAAATTACTTTAATTTACACAGAAAAACATTTTACAATTTTCTCCAAAGTAATCTTGTACTGACTGACCTTTGAAAGATGAGGTCTGGTAAAATGAGATGAATTTGAAATATTAGAAACTTCTGGTTGATGCAAAGGAATCATTGAACCATAGAAACTATCATCTGAACAAGTACGATCAAGAGCTGGAGTCATACGGCCAGATTTACTGAAAAATGAAGATAAATCAGATAAGAGAAAGATATTGAATATGGAAATAGATGCATAAACCCAAATACAGTGCTTATTAACACGACTATTAGTAGAGGATATGCAAGACTAACTCCCAATCCTTCCTCAATGCCTTTGCACTAGTGGATCTGTATGTGTTTAATGTAAGGATGCAAGAATCTTGATTCGTGAAATGCATCGTGAGCTTATTAAAAGAGATGTGAAGTCAGAATTTGGCATTTTTTCAAGTCGTCAAGTCGTATTTTTTCAAACACCATGAAGTTCATATTGAGATATTAAAAGTCTGAATATCAGATGTTTCATTGTGATTTTCTTCTGAAACTAAGATTATCAAAAATCAGTAAGCATTGTAATTTCTAATAAAATACGAACTTAAAAGTTGAAGCACTTGATCTTGTACTATCTTCAAACAACATAACAGAACCTTCATTTATGGTACGAGGTAGTGAAGTATTATTACTGGCTTTAGAACAACTATCTGTGAAAAGAAAAAAAAATTTTAATAAAAAATTTCTAATTGCCAAATTAGACTGTAACAGCCAGCGGATCTGTCTGGGGGCCGGACAATGTGGATATACAATGGGGTCCTGAAAGTCTAAAAAGCGTTTCCAAGGTAAAAAAAATTCCCACCATCTGGCTATGCCACTGTCTGTAGAAATAGCAATATTTTGGGTGGATATTGAGCCCCATACAATCAAATTTAAAAAAAAATGAATAGCCTCCTAGTGACTTCAACCATCTTCAAGTAGTAAAAATTTGAAAACATTAGCTCCATGAGATGCTTGAAGTGATTTATTTCCAACAATGAAGGCCACCAAAACTTCAGAAACATTCCATTTGTCAGAAAATGGAGGCAAACTACAACTATCATCTTGATTTGTATTTCAACAAAAAATAAATGTCAATACCTTCCATTGGTTGCGTATCTTCGTCCTCGCTCTCATCAGAGCTGTCAATCACCCCATTGCCCCGCCTTTGCTTTTCTTTAATTGGTTTTTCAACTTCATCATTATCAGACTCCGCCCCTTCCTCACCACTTTCATCATCTGACCAATCACAGTCTTCCTCTTCTTCCTCCTCTGACTGATCAAGATCTTCATTGTCGAGTTTATGTAATTCCTACATATGGAATGTTGATAAATAATTTTTACGTACCGTACTTTAAACAGTAAAATACAAAAAAATAAGATTACAAAAAAATTTGGTTAAAATTAAAATAACTATTACATTAATAAAGGCAAAAAAATAGTGTTGTATAAAACAAGAACACTGACTTCTCTTTTTTTTCTTTCCACCTCTCTTCTCTTTTTCATTTTTTCAGCAAGTTGCTGTCGCAACAGTTGTAACCTTTGACCTGGTGTGCCACCTGTCTCGGCATTCTTCACAGCTGCAAATATGATATAATGAGCAATGATTGTGAAAGATATAATATTACAGGTTGTTCATTGAGGGCTGTATTACATAGGATTGAAGAACTTTGATTTGCTTTTTGCACCTGATGGTGGGCATATGAAGGTGTATTAAATGAAGTAGATAAACTAAAAATAACAACCTGTTTAAGATATATGAACAACTGGCTTCATAAAAAAAATTGAAATTGTAACATGACCTAATAAATACCCTGCATATTATTTAAAATCGGCGTCTTACTAAAGATAATCACATAATATTTGGGACACATTGACAACCAAGGATGAAGTTGTAAGTTACAAATTCAAAGATTTCTCTGAATTTTTATTCATAATGTTACACTACTCTGCTAAAATTTAACATCAAAAATATTAGCAAAACAACTAGTTTATATGGCTATAACAACATAAATGTAACTTTTTGAATGCAAACTGATATAAAATCATGTCGAGTAAAATAGTAATTGATACCAGAGTTGAGAAGACTGGGAAATTTACATTCAGGTATGACAACATATCCCCCGATGAGAATAATTTTACTACAACTTCGTTCCCAATTTAGGTTGCAATTTTGACTTCAACCCCAGCTTAGAAACCATAGAAAACAAAATTTTGATGACAAAAATGTTTGTGAACGCAAGCCTTCTACAAATGTATGTCGTGAATACTTAGTCAACTAAACACTTGGATTGAAATTTTGACCTAAAACTCAGACTCTGGGAAAATTCAAAATATTTACTTTGATTGAAGGAATTTGAATATACTGCTGCGCTTCATCCCCCCTCCCTCTTGATTTCATTCTGCTCATTCTTGACTGATATATCAGTGCAAAATAAAGTATAAAATACTCATTCATACCATTCAAGCCATCTTTGTCTTGATCATCATCTGTACCAACAACTGCTGTAACAACATCACTTACTAGATCCACTCCTGAGCCATCGGAACGTTCAACTTTTTTGACAATACTAAAATAGTTAAGTTTAGTTAAGGTTTTTTATTTGAATATTTGAATTTTATTCAAATTAACTTGAGTTAGAATTAAAAATTAACATTATAAATTGACATGAAAAATATATTAATAAAGACATCAAGATCCCCGATAAAGCAAATCTTTCATTTATTAATCTAAATATACCGGGTATTTATGACCTACTTCAACTCTACTTGTCTTTTCTTGTCGGTGTCACGGCGTCTTCCAGCTTTTGAATGTTTCATGAATCTTTCCATTAATGAATTCACTCCGGCATTTTGTGTTTTCTTTGTCGATTCATCGTCCAGATCGATAAACTTGTTTGGGCCTGTTATTTGGAAAAAGTGAAATGAGGAAATTCATATGTATGACCTGCGCTGATTGAAAAGAAAAATTAAAAGAACTGTCTGACACAATAGGAATGTAGGGTCAGAGTTCAGCAGGTTTTCAATAAAGTCGAAGTTGCATTTTCAAAAACCTCATAAGGTGGGAGTTGAAATTCAGAATTTTCTGGAGCAGACTTACAATGGTTATAAAATTAAAATAAGTTCCAGCTAAAATCTCAAAAAGCGTTAATTTTTCCAAGCGTTCCTGATAACAATCTTTTAGAATAGTTTTGCATGCGCCAAAACCTTTGTTATCAAAATTTAAACATCTCATAGTTCAGAGCTACAGTCAGAATCAAAATTTTTAACAACCTGGACTCGTTCTGGAGACAAAATCAAAATTTTTTTTAACCCAGAGGTAACAGTCGAGTGCAAATTTCCTCAGAATACATAGCCTTGTGAGTAACAAATAACTTATTATCTTGAATATGTTGCAAAAACTTATCTATCAGAGCATGAATTATCAATTGTGTTCAAATTCAAGGTAGCGGACAACTTAATATTTATTAATATCCAATTTGTTTTGGATATTCACAGAAATATATATTTCCAAATTTCCGTTATCAAAAGCAAGCTTCAATATTGATTGTAATGTTTTATAAAACTTCAGAATATTTAATTTGCTATTTCGGTATTGTAAACAGTAATGTTTTATACATATTCGATGATAGTTATTTAGATAAGCCTTAATAATAACCAAAAGTGGATTGAGTACTAATACCAGGCGCTGCAAGTTTCCACTGATGAACTAATAAATCTAATTAGGTCTGTCATTATGACAGACATGTCAAGAATTGAAATGATTCTTATCAGCGATGATTGCTAAAAGTAGTACTGCAGTCTAACTCCGAATAAAAAATATACAGATAAAAATACTACTTACTTATTTCATTTTTCTTCGGTTGGAGCTGAGGTAATCTAGATCCAATTTGTTGCAACAATTTTTCTCTTCTAGTGAGTGGCCTGCTAGGTGCAGGCATTGGTTGGGTGCTTTGTGAGGCAGTATCATTGATAGAATTGACATTATTTATTCCTATGCATTCTGGTACGCTTTCAGTATCATTTGATTGCTCCATAGCCTCTTCAATATTTTTAGTGTCCTGAATAATCGGCATTATGATGTCATCAGCATTTTCACCTATGTCAGGTAGGTCATCCACAACATTGGCACTGATATCTTCCACAAAGTTTGCCTGAAAATAATCAAAAATATTTCTCATAAAATAAAATGTTATTGAATAGCATTTGTTGCGCTTAGAAAGCTGTGTTTTAGAACAGAGGTGAGCCATGTATGAACTGTGGAAACTATTCAAGTAGTACCCAAGAGACTTTGTATCCCCTATTTGTGACTGTGAGGGTACATTCGACTTTTTTGATTTTGTGTTGCATAACAATGGAATAAAATATTGTTTGATGAGGATTTGATAATCCCTACTGTATATTGTTGTGCTTGGGTTATTAAGATGTCTACCAGTGAAAAGTTTGATAATGGAAGCAGAAGTTTGACACTGAGTGGCGTCTGAAATTCCCTTTTCGTGCAATGCAAGTGCAGTTTGCCTGATTTGTCAATGACTCACAAGCACTATAGAAGACTTAGCAGTAATGAAGAAATATTTCTTCATTACTTGAATTTGGCAAAAATGAATGCGTTGCTCAAAATTAGGAAAAATATACAATATTATTGTGAAAAATATATATTATATAGAAAAGAGTGGATAAAATGAAATTTAATTTATTAATATGATATATTGTACTCATAACAAAGTAATATTACCTTACCACACTGTTCAATGGTCAGATATTGCACACGTAAGCAAATTCATAATTTATTACAATGAATAATTTCTTACTGATTTCATCTTGTCACTTTCTGTTGTCGGTTTTCCGAGAACGGGTCTTTTCATGAACTCAGATAATTTCTTGGGTTCTGGTCGATGGTACGGCAAGTTGACAGATGATTCTGTAATACAATTATATTTAGGGTTCCTTATGGTTATGGTTTAGAATAACACAACAGAAAATGATGCTTGAATTGAAAAATAACAATGACGGAAGCAGGGCTTCTCCAGACGCAGACCAGAGTTGAAAAAAATTCCAGATTGTGGAAAAGTTTGAACTTCGACTTATTGACAAAATCAAAATTCATAAGAGAAACTTTGGAGTAAGCAAGCCTTTTTAAGACTGTTAAATATCACGTACTCTTTAATATTTTGTAGAAAATTTTAACTTCTATCTCAATTGAAAAATTGAAATTCAAACTTCCTAAGAACAGAGAATTGACTTCAGTAGATCATTCTTTGTCTCCACCGACCACCGCCCTCGACAAAAGCCTGCGGTACGGTAATACTTAAATCATTAAGTGTAGCTAATATTTATCTTAAATATGATCTATATCGCGCAAATCACGCCCTATAATTTTCTTTGAAAATTGTCTTGATTAGCTGTGCCTATACCTCGTAAAAGTCTTTGTGTTTCACTGTGTAATTGCATCATTGTATTTCGACTTGATCCTGGTTTAGACATTCGAGGTTCAGCTATTTCACTCGGATCTGGTCTGATTACATCATCATCATCATTATCATACACATCATTATCCTTTATGATAAAAAATTGATAAGATATACAAGAGCTGATAAAAATCAGATTATTTCAAAATTTTTAATGTTGTATTTTTTCAAACTATATATATATATAACCTAAAAGACTGTTTTGATTAATGGTTTAAATTATTAACAACCATTTACTAGGGATAATTTATTAATGTTGTTGTGTCTTAGTTTCAATAGAAATATAGCTATGTTCACTCATACAAATAATTGAAACTAATGAAAGTAGAGTATCAACCATAAGAGTTGTGCTCACAAAACCGACTGTGGAAGCGGAACAACTAGATATTTTGATGCATTTCACATTATGGATTTTTCCAGTCAATTTTGATAACATAACCATGAGAATATTCGTAAAAGTCTTTGAGTCAAACCAAAATGATGGCAGGTAGTATTTCATAGATCTTTAAGTTAGAGAAGCAATAATTTTATGATACCTCACAATTTATTCCTCGGCTTTCGTTGACATTTGTTGGATTTTTATTTCTAAATAATCGTAATGGTGGAGCGTCATCATCGCTAGAACTGTCAGATTCAATATCACTTTCTGGTGAGTCATTGTCAACTTTTGCCTCTTCATTGCGAGTTTCATCAATTTCGGAAATTGGAATTTCATCTTCATCTTTTATTGATTCGCTATCGATCTTTAGTTCATCAACGGCATTTTCGGTCAAATCATCACTTTTTGTCGACTCTACATCACTTTCTGCCGAGTCATCATCTGTATTTAGTGTATTACGATGAGTTTCAATATCGACATTATGATCTTTTTTGGAAATAATTCCATTATTGCAGTCTATAATTTTCTCATTATTTTCAACTGTTCGCTGACTAGACTCAATGTCTTTGTTCATATTTACAGAATCATTATCAGAATCTGAATCCATCTGAATTCTTCGCGATTTCTTCTTTTTTCCAGAAGATTCTTGAAAAGTAATATGAAATAGTTGTAATTATTAAACCTCGTAAATCAATACGAAATATGATAATTACGTCAAGAAAATCACATGAGCAGGTGACTTACTTGACATAACCCAATAGATAACAAAATAGTATGAAATAAGATATAACCCAGCAAAAGGGGTTACTTACTACTATTCATGTCTTTCGCTGCAACTAAACTAATTTCATCGGAAGACATAATGAGAATTAAATTACTTCATTCACAACTAATTTTTGGGAACACAACTGAAATCTGACACGCAAAATCACAGAAACGAGGCAATGTTTACAACCATGCTTGGATATCTGTCTGGGCGAACGAAGTATTTAAGCGGCTGCAAAAATTGCCATTGTTAAGTCATCATTTACTTTTTGCTGATTGGTCATTCTCACAGAAATAAACAAAGAAGTTGATGCTCAGCGAAACATCCATAGGCCCTTGGGCCCACAACAGTTGAAGGATCAGCCCAGTACAGTTATAAATATAATATGCATTATGAAATAGTATTAGCACTCACTTTGTTCTTCTACCCTTTCATCCTCATATGAATGTTCAGGATTAGGCGATGATTTAAATTCTGAGAAAAAAGTGATCAAATATCACAAGATAAATTTAAATTTATCTTAATAATACTAATATACACATTGAAGCAGTGCAATGAGTAAGTAAGCATGTATTAATATTTTTGTAAAACTATAATGAACAGAAAGTTAACAATATATTTTAATGAGAATTTTCAATTGAAAAATGCGAATCAAAGTCACACATATATGAGATAATGTTCTCAGTTGTGATGTTAAAAGGGGAACGAGCTAGAATATTATTAAGATATATTTTTAAAATGTTGAATCAAGTTGTTAAAAAGGTTTTCAGAAATTGATCATACTTGGTCATACTATTTGACTTCAATTGCTCAAAATAATATTTTGGAACAAAACTGATCATAGAAAGCAATTAATTTCAAAGTAAAACATAGGGTGGCTCAGCCACTTTGCGGCCACGACCTATTTGCGGCCATCAAACTCATCAATTTAATTAATGCCGAAAAAATCAACGAACCGCGACGATATTTCTCATGTGTTATCGTCCACTTATCCCTCATAGCTCTGTGAAATTACGCTAAAATGCGGCCACAAACAACGAACTTACGACCGAAAATACGACCGAGGAAAAAAAAACGGACTGTTTGCTCATGTCGCCAACAACCTATTGTCCCTGCAGGAAAGGTTGAAAATCCATAGAAGTATAGGAGATAAAAAGATGAAACTTGGCAAGTGGGTAGAGTTGTGTTTCTCTTAACCATCTTCAAAGTTTCGCGTTTCTACATTTACAGAAGGGGGAATGTGGGGGGTGCGCATTTCTAATAGGTCGATAATATCTTCGTTGACAAATTTGCAACCACCATGTTTTTGTGTGTTTGATTGCTGCGATGCGATGCTTTGTTTGTAATTTGACGGGTTGTGTTTGATTGCTGCGATGCGATGCTTTGATTGTAATTTGACGGGTTGTGTTCGAAATAACTGTGTTCTTGGAATATATGACGATCAGAAATGCACTTAAAAGCCCAATTTTTGGCATGGCTGCGCATGTGGTAGTCTCGTCGCAGCAGAAACGATGTTCAAGGCTCGAAATCTGTGCTTGCACACTGGTCGTTCAGTCGCAAATACGTCTTCTGAGTGTCGTACTTTAGTGGTTTGTATAGCTTTAACCCTGGTTGTAGAACATTAATTTAAGTTGTAGCGTGTAGAATAAATGCCAATGCACCTACGGTGAAAAAATTAACGGGTTAGAAATATTGGCTTCTATTTTCTAGCGATTTGAATGAAATCGTCCGCAGACTCGCTGCACCACCCTATATTTTGTTCACTTGAGACATTCCTGGAACTGGCTTGTAAACAATGAACTTAAACAGATAATAATTCAACTTTACTTGTCTTCTTTTTTCTTCTTTTCATAACAATTGGTTCATCTTCATCACTTGAGGAAGGAAGAGAAAATTTCTGAAAATATTGAAAATGTAAGAAAAGAGAAACAAATGAAAATGCTGTAATTATTTGATTATGCGAAGAGTACAATTTTCAGATTTTGTGGATGAGAGAAATGATACCGCATCCACTGAACCATGCTCAGATGCTGTTGCATGTAACTCTATACCGGTACCGTACCCAATTTGGCATGGGACATAGCGGTACCAGCTTAGTTGTAAATTGAGTACGGTACAGGAGTGGGTTTGATTTTAACTAAACGCGTACACATTAGCCGCCAGATGTATTTAAAAAAACATAAAAATTTCGCATTCAATTTTTGTTTGGCGTGATTTAAGCAGTTACTGCTGTACCGATACTGTGTTACGGCGTTTACTTCGTTAGACCCTCTGACCAGGGATGGCCAATTCGAATAAAGTATTCGAATGTATTCGAATATCTCGTCATTCGAATATCGGAATTCACGTTCATAAGAATATCGGATATTTGTGTGACGTCACACATTTTCGACGCCGCTTCCAAGACGTTCCCGTTTAATGACAACATTCTCGATAGAAACTTGCGCGTGATTGTTTTCATCATTCATCAGCGTAACAAGTTATTTAGACCTGTAAACGCCTTTACGGTTGGTTATTTTCTCTAAAACGAAAATTTTCCACAAATTTGTTCCACGATAACGATAACATTTATTTTATTTTTGTACGCGCACGGAATTGTGAATCTGGTAAATACGTTCATCGGCGGCGAGTTTCTAAAGACAACGCAACTTTTTGATTGAAAAGGAACAATTTAAAATACTGAAAATAAAACTGTAAACAATATAAGTTTTATTGAGGCCCGCGAAAATTTAAAAAATGCTTTTCTAGGCAGTGAAAATCGCAAAATTTCGTGTGCCTCTGGCACACATTATGTTTGATCGGCGTTTAGAAATATATGGTCACTAATTGAGGGCGGGATTTGCCTGATTATCCATTACTTTAAATTGCCGTCGAATAATTTCTGTTAACACTATACAAGGTTTAAAACGCGACTTTTTCCCGAGTTGTGAGGATGTATATAATATAATTAATCTAAAGTATTCAATCAATTTTATTGTAATGAAATAAATTTTACTCTGAGATATTACAGCATATTTATTAATATTCATTAACAAGAACATCTAAAAATCTGCCGAATTCGCAAAATACGGATCAAAACAATATTTAATCGGACAGTTTACCTCACGTTTTATTTTTATGATCGCGGATTGCAATAGTATATAAGAGTGGTGAGGATTTTATTTTGTCGACGCAACCGCAGGTTAAATTGAAGACAATAAATTAATAAAGCGAGACATTTTAAATATGCCTGTGTCGGTCACTAATTCATCACTTCTGCACTTTGCACAACAGAAAAATATATATTCGTTGTTATAATATTTGTTGTAAAAGTCGACTCTTTTAACAGGTGGCATAATCGCGGCGATGAATATGTATTTTTAAATTACTGCTAAACCTTTATATGTATATTCATTGTACGAAATGAATTATACTCTACACTTAACAGGATTTTATATAATTATTTGAGATTTTTCTAACGGCGCTAACGAGTTGGCAAGATTGCAAAAATACGTATCAAAATTAAATACATCAGGCAGTTTATCTCGTAATTTTAGGTCACAGATCGCCGTGGATCGAATAGTAATTTTTTTTTTTGACGTAAGACAGTAAGAAGAAGCAACCTCGAGTTACGTTGGACACATTAAACTAATATATAATGATATTTTAGAATCTCGTAGTTGTCATGGATTGAATATTTTACGTAACGGAATGATCATTATACGCTGAAAAGACGGCTCTTTTAACGAGCATGGAATCGCGGTGGGTGTTACAGGCAATGGGAATTTCCCAATTCGAAAATCCAGGCTGCGCTCTGGCAGTGGTGGTCATCTATTCTCTACTAATTCATTTCTAATTCCAAACACAACAATAAGTTACACACAATAACAATATGGTTCACATAAATTAATATACAAATACAGAAATATACTGGTAGGTAGCCTAGTAGAATACTCTAGGCTTAAATATTAGAATTTTTGAAGACATAATGGATTTTCGATTGTTGTTGCCTGTATTGCCAATAAATTTTATTACTCTCAGAAAATATACACAATCATCTGAATACAAGTAGTATTTTTGTCAATAGACTTGACTATTATCGTAATATCATGGTACCAATGATGGAAAGCGTCGGACAACCCCTTAGCTATCTTTTCATATATGGTCATTTGTACAAAGTGAATAATTTTAATAAACTGACTGTGTCACAAGTTGCTATTTTTTTTATTGATAGCTATAAACTATCAATTACTTTGTGTACATATACTGTTGGTTTGTGGCTTCATTCTGATATTTCTATTGAAGCTTATTTCCTAATTTACTGGGTTTTAATCAACTACTGAACTAAAACAAAAATGTGTTATTTTCGATTTTAGAATGTATTCGGAATTCCAGATTCGAAAACATTATTTTAGAATGTATTCGGAATAGTTTAGTATTCGGAAATGGCCATCCCTGCCTCTGACCCATAAGTCAGTAGGGTACCTTGAAGTTCTAACTACCGGTACCGTACCGTACCGGTACATACCGGTACAGGTAACGTTACCGGTACCACTCCATCCTACCTCCGAAGCTTTAGATATAACTTCCACGCCAACACACTGGCTCATATTGCTGTATTGCACGAATCAAATATGAAGAATGCAGAAAATTATCAATGATTCAACCGAACAAACTCATAGGCAGGCCACTCAACCTGCAAACGCGTATCGACGAGCAATGAATATCCAAAACTGAATTTTCCCGCTGTTTACTAAATGATTGACAGTTGCTGAGAGCGGAAAATAATTTCGTTACAACGATTATGCTTAATTCCCTTGGGCACAGCATTCGTTTTCGAATTTTGGACACGAATTAGGCTTATGGATAGTTATGTAATTATTATCTTGTTGTTCTTGTTTTTTTTCGTCCTATTTTTCGTCTGTGCAAGGAGCCAAACATTGTCTGACAAAATGGCTTCGCGGTGTGGCGCATCGTGCTAAGCGTTAGGAATACGCTCGCCACCGCATCTCTGATTACCCTTCGTGGGTTCGCAGGTTCGAATCCCATTCGGGGATGATCCTTTGCGAGAGAGTTACTAGACTCCTCGCCGCCGTAGGGTGATTTACGTAACCGCTGGTCGGTTACGGCTTCCTCCACCATCAAGTCCATGCTTCCGAAAACACATACCTGGCTAACTAATCCCATACCCAACCTGGACTGGTAACCGGACGAGAGACCGTGGATTTCTATTGATTAAGCTGTCTTGTCGGTTTTCCTCTCCCCCAAGATAAATATGTTAATCCTATCCTAAATGCGAAGAGTACTGAACAATCCCGAAGTGGATAAATATGGGTCATATTGACACGAAAACACAAAAAGTCCACCTTGCCCTAAAACAACGTTATTTGAAAATAAGTTTACTGATTATTCGTGTATTGACAATATATATCTCAGCATTATCACAATTTATTTTGAGCTATTGCTATAGCAAGAACAACCCTAGATAAGAAGCGACTGATGGCAAAGGGCATAATGATTTGTTATTAGACCAGGACCTGAGATATTTTACGTGTGATGACAACATAATATCTTACTTACCCATTGCAAAAACATCAGAAATTATCTGCTGAATTCTCACTGCGTATAAAAGATGTTATTCACTCAAGTGAAAAAACCTTTGTAGTTTCTAGATCGAGAATCTTTGTGGCTTGGCCCGTCCACAAATTATTATTATTGCTTTATGCTGTTTGTTTTGGTGATGCGGACAAAACCCGATATTTCCTGTCTCCCACATGACTTACTCAATTTTCACACACTGATTTTGATTTCATTATGATACTCCCTTTTCTGGCTTTTCAAATAGACCTACTCATTCCCCATGCCTGGTTTTCGCTTGCTTTTTCTCTCTTTCTCTATCGCTCCTCTCTCGCCACTGGTCAACTCGATATCACTCTTATCGCACCCTTGACTTTTTATTTTCCATTCATAATAGGACGATTCTTTTTTCATTTTTTCCCCACATGCTCTTTTATCTGCCTCAGTTTCTTTCTTTCTCTCGATGTCCATATCTCAAATTTCAATCATTAACACTGATTTCTTCACTGATTTCTGCAAATCGGTTTCATGAAATCATCTCAGTTCAACGTTTGGCAAGAGCCTCATCGCATAAACCAGCATCTATGAAATTTAAACATGCTTATATTTGTGCCCTCGTAAATATTTGTGCTTGTGGTAATTTACATTGACACATCCACATATTTTCTCTCATGATCATTTGTGCCCACGGTCACCACTATTTTCTCACTAGCTAACAACATTAAGTTACTGCAAATAATTTACTTGTGGAAATATGTGCTTTCATGTTTCATTCAATACAATTTTATTTTCGTATTTCTATGTTTCCGTGCCTCCTTTGACCTCAAAAATTTTTTTTATACATTGTCACGAAAATCTGCGTTTATATGATTATATGTCATTGTGAAAACAACCTAAGAGCCCAGTGGGAGCCAATATTTCGACCAAACTTATGCTATTTTCTTTTAATTCGTAGAAGCACTATTTTATGTCATATGCTAACATTGTATATTCTTCGTTTACTTTATATACATTAGATTAGAGCATTTTCCTAATAGTTTTCAAATATTTTGAAGGTAATGAAACTACTCTCAAGAATCCTTCACTTCCTATTTTATCTCCTATTCACGTAAAAATTCTGATGGCAATAATGGTAACCGTGTAGAAAATACAGAATAGTTTTCATCATAAAGGTTTTGATTGTTTGGATAATATATATATTAATAAGAAAACAATTCTAATACGAACATAATACCAAAACAATCCATATTTATATATTGTCCAGAAATAATATTGGTATAAAATGATTGGCAATATGTCGCATTTACCGCATTGAAATCGAACGATGTCTTATTTTAGTATGCAAACAAGAAAATGTGCACGATATAGAAAGTTATAAGCCTTTTTGAGTAGCTGTTATGCTATATAGAGTATTCTCATTTGTCCAGGGAGTTAAATTTTTAGACCAATAACCTTACGGCGAATGCGAAAAATGGAAAATATTTGAAGATTCTAAAGCAATTAATATTCATTAACAAGGTAATGTATTAATTAGGTTGATAATATTGCATATAAATTAACGTCGATTTAATCGGTTCCATTTCACTTAGCAATTGTCTACAAAGATATGCTCCAAGCCCGTCTGCAAGCAGGGGCGCCAATTCCTTTCTTCTAGTTAAATCATATGTGAAGGCAAGTATCGTAAGAATAACTTGCTTACGTCATACTATAATAGGCATGATGCAGTAACATGATTCACCAATTTCTCTGTGGCGAAGAAAGTTATGTAGGGAGTAATGTATAAAAAACCTTTAGATGATAGTAGCTAAGAGGTTGGCGCATGATAACTAAAATACCTTAACAATTACTTTAAGTAAATATACATGTTGAGTATATGTCAGTTTTGTTATTAGAATACAAGTTGAATTAGTATGCACAAAAAATAATATCAATAAAGAATGAGAAAAAAATGAAACAATGCCGTCTCCAAATTTTTAAACACCCAAACTTGGTTTAGATTCCAGCACTTATTTGGTTCATTTCTGACTGACTGAGATGTAGTACCACTCTCGAATTTTGCAGAGAAAATAACGTATATTATCATGCAGTGCTGCGATTCTGGCTGAGTAGTCTAAATTTAAAATGAATCTTAAACCAAAAACACTACACTACTTTCCATCAAAATATAAATCGAAAATGCAATCCATCGAAGCTAACTATGATAAATATATTTATCAGCAAAACTTTAGCAAAAAATTAGTTTCGATTTTATTATTTACAATAAACACATTGATAATGTTAGACTCAATTAGTTGAAGAAAAAAACATTACCACACATTACGGAGAATTTGGGAAATAATTCAAATCTATGTGAATATCATGAACTGCATATTTCACTACTTCTATAGTTGCGCTTCTATAGTTGCATGCTTCCAGAAGATTGATTGAAAGAGACATATATTGTCAAATATATATGTAGAAAAATATGATGCCATTGTTCAAAAAATGGAATTTTTATTTCAAGTTCATTTTTGTTGAAATGGGAACATTATGACACTTCACCATTCCAATTTACAAATACCTATTTCGTTTTCACAGTGCATGTCTTCTATACTAATATTCCAATGTCGTGCTGTATATCTTGTTGAAAACGCCATCTTCATTGTGTTCTGACCATGCCGAGCTATCATATAAATCAAAAGCTTAATTTGAAGTTTTTTGCTCATACTATGTGTCAATAACCTCTCTAGTCCACTCTTCAATATCTAATTCCTGCCCGGTTCCTCCTAAAAATGGTGGCAACGCATTTGGGTCGATAGTTTCGTGAAGTCCATTGAGATTATGGCGATGAAATTTTATCTGGTAAAATAAAATAGCATTTGTGATCACCGAAAAAGACTAATTTTTAATATTCTAATATAATCTGTTGAAAAAGTGTTAGTTTTATCTAGTAAAACAACAAATGATTGTATTTATATAATCGAAATATTTTTTCCTCTTGGGAAGATTCAAAAAGAAATTTTGATTCAAATGATCTAGTTCTAGGAATTGTGCAAATTAAGATAAGATAATCTTCGTAACAAATTATTAAAACTATTTTTTTGAAATTTTAAGGTTTTCCTAAATAACGTGAAATACCCGCAACGTACCTTTTGCTTGATGTGACTGCTCATAAAATTGCTCACAATAGCAAACATCGCATCGAACACAAAAGCTTCGTTTACAATATTAATGGATATTATCCGGATTGGCAGAACCTCCTGCAGCATATGGATTATTGATAATTTTAAAACAAAGATAACATTAAGGAGGGATTAGTTGAAGCCTTGCTAGTTCGTGAGCCTTGCTAAACAATGTTGATTTATTTTGTTTTAACACCTATTTCTAATGTAGGCCTATTGGTCAATCAAAACAGAAAATATATCATAATTTATTCTGATACGTTTTTACGAGATAAAGCTTAGTTATAGTAAAATATACCTGGAGCATTCGGAGAAATCGTTTACCTATGGAAGCCATTTGCATCCCCATTCTAAAACCCAAGTGCGATAGGTCGACGATTACTGTTATCCCAAATATCTGTAAAAAATATATATATATCTGGATGAATCTCTGATATGAGATGATTTAAAAATGTATGTCGAATTGATGATACACCAAATTATTCGATATATCTTAAGACATGTATTGGTGTTGTGATTATATTCGTATTCATCCAATATCGCAAAAGTCGCATATTTTATGACCATCATCTCAATCTTTCAACTTTTTGAACAATATAATAACAGACATATATACTTTCAAGTCTGCCATCTTATCACATCAAAAACCGTCAATAATTTATGACGAACCCACAGTAATTAACTAAAGTTGGAAATGATCTTTTCGAAACTGATATTTTTAATTCTGCTTCGTCTATTGCAAACGAATAAATTTTCTGATCTAACAAATATCAGTAGAATCATTGAGTACCTGGGCCTCCTCGTTTTCAATCATTTTTTCATAGGAGAGAAAAACGGAAGCAATAAGTTTGGTCAATGAATCTCCAAGCCCTGTAATCAGACACATTTTTTTTTTTAAATACGAAACACAATAAAAAATAAATAAGACTACAACAGAGGTCACCCGGGAAGTCAGTTTTAGACTTGGTTTATCCATTATATCTCCCATTATATCTTTTGAATTCTATGGTAGTTATATCCAATACAATTGTAACTTATATATATATATTCTATTAAAAGGCTGGTATTGATTTGGAAAACGAAGTTTCACAGAGATTATATAACAAATTTGTTTATGGACTGCGTCAAACGAAGAGTCAATCCAAACAAAGTTTTGAAAAACTACAAGATATAGCATAAACCAGTGGTTTTCAAACGTTAATGATCCGTGGTCTCCTCTCAACACTTGTGGTCGTGTGTTTTTTTAAAAAGCCTATCTTTTTTTTACTGGTTTACTTCAGTTATTATTTTATACTCCACGTTTACTAAAGTAAAAATAAAAACAGACGAAAGCAAAAGAAGGCCTTTGCTGTTGCCAACACAGGAACGATACGTGGTTTATGGGAGAAGGAAATTTGTGAAACTCATTAGGTAAAACACTTAATTAGGCTACACCATTCTTTTAACACATTACGTCCACCTAAAATTGTAAACGGCAAAAATACAAAATAATAACTATTAAAATATTAACGAATTAATCTTATTCATCACCTGGTCTTTTTAATAAAATAAAGCTTCCATCTTTGGCTCTTCCACCCCAGAATGTCGATGGTCCTGAAGCAAAGGACTTTCGTATGTTTTTCTTGTTTTCAACCTGAACAATGAGCAAAAATGTTTTTCCTATATATTCTCAAACTCGGCCATTCCATTAATAATACCAATTGGTGAACTCAAAGAGGCAACTGTAGCAAAAATCGGGGTAAATGGCTAACGAAAAATGCGAGAGAGTGATTGACAATTTTGCGCAAAGGCGGCAAGCCTGTCTCCGACACCAAGGAGACCATTTGCAACATATTCTAGAATGAACCAAACTTTTGTGCACGGCGTCCCAGATTACCGAAACTTTTATATACACATATATATATATGTGTATAATTAATAATCATACACAAACAGATGATCATATGTAAACAAAATTAAATAAACTTCTTTAATTTTCGTAGAAGCAATTGAGAAATTTATTGATTCTGTTTTATGGGGGTCACCATGTATTAATATATGCTACCGTCTGCATAGATCTAGTGAAAACTAATAGGCGATTACAAATTAGTCAGTCTTTTGCATGATTGCATGAAAGTGCCATCCATGAACCTACCAAATCAAAAACTTCTCGCCATTCGCTTCTAATTTTATGATAACATTCCAAAGTTTTGAGCGAATATTCTAGGTCGAATTCACAAGATCTCAAAAATCTGGAATAAAAGTAGATGAATTGAGAAATCCAGTATTAGAAGATAATACACACAAGACTCAAAGCGGTATTTAAAATATTATGGGTCATCAGCTTGGTGGAATAATTCACACTTCTTGTTAAAGATAAACGATGTTCATGTTGCTTAAGTCTTTTCATCGTTTACAGATATCTTCAGACTAGTTTCCCATAGTTTAGTGAGTTAGCAATCAGTGAATCTACTCAACGACGATACATATTCCATATATATTTATGCTCACCGTAACAAGAATTCGTCACTTTCGTCCAGAAGCTCAAATTTGTCGCACTTTTCCTTGAACTTGGTTTTCAAATTATCAATGCTTTCGAGGCGTTTATCAATATTTTCAGGCTCGTTAAGATCTTTAATGGCTTTTTCTAGTATGTCGCTTGGAAGCGAACATTGATATCTTGAAGCCATGCCGAAAACTATCCAATGTTACGCTTTCTATTTTTTGGACTGCAGGTATATTTTTTCCAAATACCTAATCATTTACAGAAATAATTATTGCTCGATATTATTTCTCTCATTCCTCATAGCGTTCTAGCGAGTATTTGCTATTTCTATTTTTGCTAAACTTTTTTTAGCGTCCCCGCCAGCTTATTGGTATCTGAATGTTGAAAAACGATTTATTTCTCTTTACGCACTGATACATTAACATGGTTGAGTGTCCAAATATTTTAGGTTGTTGTAGACAAGAAACAATTTGTCGTTAAATTTTAAAGGCCCACTGGTAAGTTATGAAATCACACTAAAGTTTAATACACGAGAATATTCCCCTCAAAGAAGATACCCATCATATTTTCACATCTATCGCTTATTTATACCACCAACTTCCTACCATCTACATCAGTTCAGTCTGGCTACAATACTATTTCATTACCATGTCAAAAGTGTCGTAACGTCGTATGTATTCGCTAAATACAATGTTGTTTACCCAGACAGTCAAGCAACAATGAAATGAACGCTTCGATTTCCCTGCGCAAGCAGCGACGCGAATCATTGGGTGTGGGTTTTGCCTAGCTTAGTTTAAATCGTGCTACTAAATCATCTAATAGCAATGTAAAAACAGATGAAAATTTTTGCACGAACGCAAATATCTAGTAAGAGTTTGTTAATTTGCTATTTTGCAAGTGATATCAACTTTCACAAACAATCCCGGAGGCCTTTTGTTTGGTTGATTGTTATTGTTGGGAGAAATTTCCTTTTCCACGCAATTAATGAACAATTCGATTGCAATGTTCAGCAATTAAAGATGATTGAAGTCACTGAAAGACTATTGCTTTCATTTTCAAATGCTCTCTGTGGTTTTTCATCTCAGTTCAAGGTTTGGCAAGAGCGTCGTTGCATAACCCAGCATCTGGAAAATTTGAACCTGCTTATATTTGTGCCCTCGAAAATATCCGCCCTCGTGGAAATTTACATAGACACCTCCTCATATTTTTTTTCGTGATCATTTGTGCCAACGGTCACTAATATTTTATAACTTGCTGACAACAATGAGTTACTGCGAATAATTTACTAGTGAAAATATGTGTTCTTATGTTTCATTCATTGAAACCTTTTTTCATATTTCCATGTTTCCGTGCCTCCTTTGACCCCAGAAAGGTTTTTAATTCATTGCACAAAAATTTGCCTCCAATATGGTTAAACGTCATTCTGAAACCACCAATAAAGCCAAATAGGAACCAATATTTCGGCAAAACTTTTGCTATTTCTTTAATTCGTAGAAGCACTATTTTATGTCATATGCTGACATTTTATTTGACCTATAGTATACCCTTCGTTTATATACATTTGAGCATTGCCCTAATGCTTTTCAAGAATATTGCAGGTAATGAAAATATTCTTATATTCTTCTAATATATATATATGTATAATAAGAAAATAATTCTATTGAACATAATAACAAAACAATCCACATTTAAATGTTGTCCAGTAATAATATTGGCATAAAATGATTGGCAATATGCACCACTTGATCAGGTGATCTAAAAAACTATCACATTTACCACATTAAAATCCAACAATGTAAGAGATATGTCTTATTTTAGTATGTGAACAAAACAATGTACACAAAAGAGAGGAATAAGCATTTTTATGTGGCAGTTATGCTATAGAATATAGATAGAATATTCTCATTGGCCCAAGGAGTTAAATTTCAGACAAATAATCTCAAGGCGAATGGATGCAAGAAAGAAAAAATATTTGAACATTCTAGGACAGGGGTCGTCAACCTTTTGTAGCTCACGGGCCAAAATTAAAGGTTGCAAGTCATTGGCGGCCGCACATATTTTTAGAAAGTTAAAAAGCGAACGGATGACCGATGAATCACATTATTTCACACAGATCAGAAGTTAAATTCCAAGCAGCGCGCGAAGACTGACCATTTGAATATCATTTTGCGCCATTAAACCATTTGCACTTAGCATCAACTTTTCTGCGTTTGGTTGCCATTTGTCTGAATTATAATTAAATTATAGGCTCAATAAACGAGTAATTGTAAATTATATACTTGTAACATTTTATTCTAATAATACGGCCCGCGGGCCGTAGGTTGCCGACCCCTGTCCTAGGACAATAAATATTGAATAATAAGGTGATGTATTAAGTCGATAATATTGCATATAAATTGACATCGATTTATTCAGTTTCATTCCACTTAGCAATTGTCTACAAAGATATGATCCAAGCCCGTCTGCAATCACAGGCGCCTATTCCATTCTTCTAGTTAATTCCTATGTGAATGCTTGCATCGTAGGAATAACTTAGTTGCTTACGTAATACTATAATAATCATGTTGCATTAACTTGATTCACCAGTTGCATGTGGCGAAGAAAGTTATGTAGGGAGTAATGTATAAAAAGCCTTTCTATGATAGTAGCTAAGAGGTTGGCGCATGATAACTAAAATACCTTAACAATTACTTTAAGTGAATATACACGCTTAGCATATGTTAGTTTTGTTATCAGAATACAAGTTGAATTAGTATGCACAAAAATTAATATCAATAAAAAATGAGATAAAAATGAAACAATGACATCTCCAAATTTTTAAACACACAAACTTGGTTTAGATTCCAGCACGTATTGGGTCCATTTCTGGCTGACTGAGCTGTGGTACCATTCTCAAATTTTACAGAGAAAATAACGGATATTATCATGCAGTGCTGTGATTATGGTTGAGTAGCCTAAATTTAAAATGAATCTTAAACCAAAACACTACACTACTTCCTTCAATATATATATCGAAGATGCAATCCATATAAGCTAAATATGATATATATATTTATCATCGAAACTCTCTCAGAAAATTCTTTTTTAACATTTACTATATACACATTGTTAATGTTAGACTCAATCACATGAAAAAAAAACATTACATTACAAAAAAAAACATTACTACGCATTACGGAGAATTTGCGAAATAATTCAAATCTATGTGAATATTATTAACAGTATATTTAACCTTTTATATTGAAGCTTCTAGATTTTCATGCTCCCAGAAGATTGATTAAATGAGACATATCAAATATATATGTACAAAAATATGATACCGTTGCTCAAACATGGAATTTTTATTTAGAGTTAATTTATTTTGAAACGGCAACATTATATTTGTATGCTAATACTTCACAATGCTTCAATATACAAAAACCCTTCAATTTTCACAGTGCATGTCTTCGATTAATATATTACTGTGCCGTGCTGTATATCTTGTTGAAAACGCGATCTTCCTTGTGTTTTGGCCATGCCGAGCTATCATATAAATCAAAAGCTTAATTTGAAGTTTTTTGCTCATACTATGTGTCAATAACCTCTCTAGTCCACTCTTCAATATCTATTTCCTGCCCGGTTCCCCCTAAAAATGGTGGCAACGAATTTGCGTCGATCGATTCGTGAAGTTCATGAAGATTATGGCGATGAAATCTCATCTGATAAAATGACATAACATTTTTGATCACTGAAAAGATTAATTTTGACAACAGATGAACTGTTGAAAAAGTGTTAGTTTTATCTAGTAAAACACAAATGATGGTATTTATATAATCGAAATATTTCATACATCTTGTGAAGATTCAAAAATGGAAAACTGTTTTATATAAACTTGGAATTGTGTAAATTAAGATAAGATAACCTTCGTAACAAAGTAATAAAACTATTTTTTTTAATTTTAAGGTTTCATAACGTGAATTACACACAACGTACCTTTTGCTTGATGTGACTGCTCATAAAATTGCTCACAATAGCAAACATCGCATCAAACACATAAGCTTCGTTTACAATATTAATGGATATTATCCGGATTGGCAGAACCTCCTGCAACATATGGGTTATTAATAATTTGAAAGCAGAGATAACTTTAGGGAGTATATGTCATGAGCCTTGTTAAACATTGTTGATTTATTTTGTTCTATCGCCTATTTCTAATCGAGGCCTATTGGGTAATGAACACAGAAAATATATCAGTATTTATTCTGATACGTTTTTACGTGATGCAGCTACTTATATATGTAAAATTTACCTGAAGCATTCGAAGAAATCGTTTACCTATGGAAGTCATTTGCATCCCCATTCTAAAACCCAAGTGCGATAGGTCGACGATTACTGTTATCCCAAATATCTGTAAAAAAAAAAAGGTACCTTGATGAACTTTGATATGAGATGATTTAAATTGTGTTTGGAGTTGATCATACCATGATTTTTGCAATAGGTGTTAGGACATACATTGGTGGTGTGTTCATATTTATCCAATATTGCAAAAACTTGCCACATATTTTTAGGAAGATTATACTGATATCTTTTAACTTTGTCAACTATAGAATAAACACATAAATTCGCCATCTGATCAAATCGAAATCCGACACCAATTTGAACCCATTGAAACTAACTAAAGTTGAAAATAATCTCTTTGAAACTGACATTGCTAATTTTTTGCCGTCTATTGCAAACGTAAATTTTCTGATCTAACAAATATCAGTAGAATCAGTAGAATCATAGTACCTGGGCCTCCTCGTTTTCAATCATTTTTTCATAGGAGAGAAAAACGGAAGCAATAAGTTTGGCCAACGAATTCCCAAGTCCTGTAATCAGACACATTGTTTTTTTTTAAATATGAAAAACGATAAAAAATAAACATGAATATCGGTCGGAGACCGAAGACTTATCGATCGAAACTGCGGTTTCGATTCATGACTCTATAGTGGCACCGCGTGTTCCATCACTGATTAATTAATAAATCGCTGATTATACCACATAATTCATCCAAAATCAATAGGCTTCTGGTCCGAGATAAGATGAATGCACATGTAAATCACGTGCATCTAACAGACAAACAGACAGACAGACAAACAGACAAATACCCATCAACATACTTACCGATCTGAAGATCGATAAGTAATTAGACTACAACAGAGGTCACCCAGGAAGTCAGTTTTATACTTGGTTTATCTACTATATCTCCCATTATATCTTTTGAATTCTATAGAAGTTATATCTAATACAATTATAATTTGTATACTATTAAAGCATGTGCTGATATTAATTTGGGAAACGAAGTTTCACAAAGATTATATAACAAATTTTTTCATGGACTGCGTTAAACAAAGAGTCAATCCGAACAAAGTTTTGAAAAACTACAAGATATAGCATAAACCAGTGGTTTTCAAACGTTAATGATCCGTGGCCTCCTCTCAACACTTGTGGTCACGTTTTTTTTTAAATCCTTATCTTTGCTTTTACTGGTTTACTTAAGTTATTATTTTATGCCCAACGTTTATTAAAATAAAAAATACAGCTGAAAGCAAAAAAAGGCCTTTGTTGTTGCCATCAGAGGAACGAAGCGTTCCCGTTTGAGGGAGGATGCGGTTTGTGAAACTAATTAGGGAAAACACTTAATTAGGCTACACCATTGTTTTAACATATTACGTTCACCTAAGGTTGTAAACGTCAAGAATACAAAATAATGCAAAACTTAAACTATTGAAGTAATACCGGATTAATCTCAATCATAACCTGGTCTTTGTAATAAAATAAAGCTTCCATCTTTGGCTCTACCACCCCAGAATATCGATGGTCCTGAAGCAAATGACTTCCGTATGTTTTTCTTGTTTTCAACCTGAACAAAAAAAAATTATATCTTCAAACACGGCTATTCCATTAATTAATAATAACAATTGGTGAACTCAATGCGACAACTGTAGCAAAAATTGGGAAAATTGCAACAAAAAATGCGTAAGAGTGATTGACAATTTTGCGCAAAGGCGGCAAGCCTGTCTCCGACTCCAAGGGGACCATTTGCAACATATTCTAGAATGAACCAAACTTTTGTGCACGGCGTCCCAGATTATCGAAACTTTTATATACACATATATATGTGTATAATCAATGATCCTACACAAACAGATGATCGTATGTGAATTAAATTTAAATTTCTTCAAATGAGAAATTTATTGATTCTGTTTTATCGGGGTTACCATGGGTTAACTCTTAATTAATACATGCTATCGCCTGCATAAATTTAGCAAAAACTAATAGGCGATTACAAATTAGTCAGTCTTTTGCATGATTGCATAAAAGTGTCATCCATGTACCTACCAAATCAAAAACTTCTCGCCATTCTCTTCTAATTTTATGATAACATTCCAAAGTTTTGAGCGAATATTCTAGGTCGAATTCACAAGATCTTAAAAATCTGAAATAAAAGTAGATAAATTGAGAAATACAGTATTAGGAGATGATACATTAGACGCACGAGACTCAAAGCAGTTTTATATGTTTAAAATATACAGTACTTATGGGTCGTCAGCTTAGTGGAATAATTCACACTTCTTGTCGAAGACAAACGTACTGTTGCTAAGTTATTTCACCGTTTGCAGCTATCTGCAGAATAGTTTCACGAATAGTTTTATACATTAATGAGTTTGCAATGAATGAATTATCTCAACGACGATACAAATTCTATATTTATGATTACCGTAACAAGAATTCGTCACTTTCGTCCAGAAGCTCAAATTTGTCGCACTTTTCCTTGAACCTAGCTTTCAAATTATCAATGCTTTCGAGGCGTTTATCAATATTTTCAGGCTCGTTAAGATCTTTAATGGCTTTTTCTAGTACGTCGCTTGGAAGCGAACATTGGTATCTTGAAGCCATGTTGAGAACTATCCAAAACTACGCTTTCTGCAGACATATATATTATTTTCCAAATATTTAATCATTTACAGAAATATTTATTGCTCGATATTATTTCTCTCATCCCCCATAGTGTTTTAGCGAGTATTTGCTATTTTCAAGGCTAACTTATTTAAGCGTCTCTGCTAACTGATAGGCTGCATAAACATGGTGGAGTGTTAGAATATTCTAAGTTGTCGTAGGCAAGCAGCAATATGTCGTTAAATTTTGTAAGGCCCACTGGTAATCTATGAAACCACACTAAGGTATAATACACAAGAATATACTCTCAAAGACGATACCCACCATATTTTCGCATCTATATAATCGCTTGTTTATACCTATCCACTTTCTACCATACACATCGGTTCAGTTTGGCAACAATACTATTTCATTACCATGCAAAGAGTGTCGCAACGCCGTATTTATTTGCTGAATACAATGTTGTTTACCCAGTCATAAACAAAGAAATGAAGGCTTCGACTTCTCTACGCAAGCAGCGACGCCTATCAATGGGTGTGTATTTATGCCTAGCTGAGTTTGAATCGTGCTACTAAGTTATCCAATAGCAATGTAGAACAGATGAAATTTTTTGCTTGAACGCAAATCATATTGAGTTTGTTATTTCCGTTATTTTGCCAATAAAATGTCAAATGCACCAAAATAAATTCGCAGGAAACAATGTGATATCAACTTTCACAGACAATTCTCGCAGGCCTATTGTTTGGTTGATTTCTATTGTTTCCTTTTTCACACAATTAATCGACGAATCGATTTCAAATGTTCAGTAATTAAAGATGATTGAAGTCGCTGCAAGGCTGTTGCTTGCATTCCTAAATTCCCTCTGTGTTTCAAGGGATCTAATATGCACCCAAAATTTTGCTGTTCCATTTATATTATGCCATGCTAGATGAGACAATTCTATCACCTCTTATCCACTGGCAATGCCACTGTTTTAAGAAAAATATTACTAAATCTTCATGTACGGAACCTTGCTATATCTCAACTATAACTTCGAATTTTAAATTTCTCTTGATAATATTCTAAAATACGTTGCCGCGGGGTAGGATAATAGTTTGTACACAAAATCGGACATCCAAAATAAAATCAAGAAATGATATATAGCATTATATCATTAGAAATCCAGTGTGTCCGAATTGAACAAATTCACATTCTGAAATATTGTTCTGCGTTTCATATGATTAACACTTTTAACCCTTTCTTTGTCCAGGGGGTTTTCCTACTAATTACTCATGTGTCCAGAGTACTTTTTAAACTTTCAGTTGAAGTAGGATGCTGAAAATTTGACAGTTTATAATTGAGACCATGAGATGTGTATTGCACATAGGAAGGTGTACATCATATGTAATGTACGCTACATTTTTGTAAAAAAAAATTGATTACATTTTCTGTGCATCACATATGATGCACGTTTTTCACGTGCTTTTTGTTAACTTTTTATATAAACTTCTTTGTTTGTGCGGGTTATTTGCGAAACTTACTAATTTTGTAGTGGCAATTACTTGTATGAATACTGCTAGATATTATGGAAAGCGTAAGGGAGAAACTGATGCTGATTATAGTGGGTCGAACAGTGACTAAAGTGGATGTTGCCAAATTTCTCAAATCCAAAAGTGAATTTTTCCAATCCTGTTCCCCTACCCCCAACAAACGCAAATACAGAATTGTTCATATTGGAAAGAAGACGTTACAGCAAAAGCACAAATTGTGTTTTCAGGTAGAGGGTGACTAAAGTTAAAATATTGTGCATGGCGACAATAATGATGTTGCACCAATAGAAGTCTTTCTTCAGTTCTTAATATCTCACAACAAGGACAGCACGTTTCACACACAGGCCAAAAACAAATCTCATGCTCTAGGTCTAGGCTAAATCCCCAGAAGAACAGATGGAAAAAACTCCAGGAAGAGATGCCATCGCTGTTATGAAATTTTTTCTATAAGTTCTGACCGACAACAAGAGGCAGCAGCAAAAGCAGAACAAGTCTCTACAGAATTCGTGGAGTGCTAAAATCTTTCTGCTTGAAATATTTTAGTGATTTACATGAGAACCATTGATCAGGCCCCTGACGTTGGGCTGATATTTTTAATTAAAAGCTTTCGTTCGCATATTTTCCCCCTCATGATTGTATGTGCCAATGTAGAGCATTCGTTTTGTGCAGTACATGTAGATATGGTGAAATGCACATGCTACACACGTTCTGAGCAATAAAAGTCTTTTCTACGATAAGTTCGAACGTTTTCTGTGCGATTCAAGAAACTAGCTTTTGTGCATCACATGTGATGCACGGACGTCAGAGCAATATGTCATGTGTATCACATGTAATGCACAGGACAGGGAAAGGGTTAATTTTAAGGCATCTTCTCATTTAATTAATCACAATTCTTGTATATAAATTGAGTGGTAATTTTCCGATCATTTGATTTTTTGTCTCTTCAATAGCAAATTAATTGAATTTTTAGTTAGCAGATGTTATCACAATTTAGATAATGTGTAAAATCACGGATTATTTCAAAAGGGCGATCGTTGCACAATTTCTTACTTTAATCAAATAAACCTGGTGTAATCGGCCAATCATATTTTTGGGGATTTTCTTGAAAATCATGTATGCATTGATATATGTGATGAATGTCACAATATATATATATATATTCCTATTTTATCGATTTGGTCGACAACACGATGTTATTTTCGCTGTATTCGGGCGACGGAAATATTTGGGCCACATTTTGCTGCCGCCCAAATTGTTTGGGCTTTATTTTATTTAAGAATCTCTTGAGCAAAAAGTCTGAAACTTTTCGTGATTTCCAACATTACCCTCAACTATCACCACAGAATGTTGGATTTGGAATTCTAGCAAAAAAAACTCTGGTCTTTGACGACAGTTTTAAGTCCCAGCTATCTCTCCTGTAGTTATTTTTGCTAAGTTGTGGCTACAAATAAATATCATGAATTTCTCTTTTCTAACGAGGTTATATTTTAATCAGGATTGGAGGATTACCAGGAAAAAAATTTCGCTATTGTATATCAATCATATTGTATTCCAATAATTCACCGGAAACTTTTCTGGGACTTGGGACACTGTTATAGTATATTTAACCCTAATAAAATATGCAAACTTGCAGATGAGACATATGACGTCATATATAGTTTATGTTTGCTCGGCCAGGAGCGATGAGAAGTTGGTTTTAGTTATCGATTCAAATCAAAGGTAAATTCAGTTCGTACATAAGGAGGCGGGACGTGTTATTGGACACGTTTAGTGGCCATAACGATCATTTCAAAATTTTGTTGTTATTGTTATTGGACACGTTTAGTGGCCATAACGATCGTTTCAAAATTTTGTTGTTATTGTTATTTTCTTTCGTCATTATCATTAAAAAATCGCTTTTCTTTTCGAATACTGGGCCAATTGCTTCGGAATTTTCAGTGGTTCAAGATTGATTTTTTTGCCAGAAGGCTATTACTTTCATTTATTCCTGAATTTTCTATGAATCTTATGAAATCTAATATTTCATCCAAAATTGCGCTGTATTATTTTTTAATTATGGGAACACGGTTTTTAATCCGCCAAGCGTGACGGCTGACTGTGAAAATTCTTGCGACTGAAAACCCGGAACTTTTTGAGGGTACGGTACCGGTAACGTCAAAGGTAAACCCTGCTTCGCTCTAGTCCACGTGTCCGTATATTTGAGCGTTGCTCTCTTGTTTTTTTATTCGTCATTATCATTAAAAAATCGCTTTTCTCTTCGAATACTGGACCAATTGCTTTGAAATTTTCAGTGAGTAAAGATTGATTTTTTTGCCAGAAGGCTATTACTTTTATTTATTTCTAAATTTCGCATGAAATCTGATATTTCGTCTAAAATAAAAATAAAAAAAATTATCCATAGGAACACTGGCTGTCCGGTTTGATTCTGTAAATTATTTCTACGCGAAACTCGGAATTTTTGTGGGTACCGGTGGCGTCAAAGGAAAATACTGCTTCGCTCTTCGCTACCGGTATTTGTTTTTCGAAATCATGGACTGCTTGCTTGGTGTCAGTATATTTGTAGACTGTGGTATGTCTTGTAGACCAGTACTGGTATGTAGACCAAGTATGTACCGGTATGTAGACCGTAACTAGACCAATACGGTTATTCAGTTATTGTATTATAAACAGGAAACATCTAAAATATTTTATTCCTAATACCGTACCGGTAACTGCGTTGTCTCAGTTCTAACACCGGTACCATACGCTGTTACCCGGTACCGGTAAGTGCCGAACACTGGAATATATTAAATGTCAGAATGCCTGGAACCGGTAGTGAAATGGATTTCCTTTACCATATTTGGCTACTTCGAACGAAAACCAAAATTTGTACCGGTATCCGAATACTGGAATATATCAAATGTCAGAATGCCTAGTAGCGGTAGTGAAATGAATTTCATTCACCAGATTTGCCTACTTCGGACAAAAACTAAAATTGACATACCGGTACAGGTATCCTTGCCTAACAAAATTTTGAACTGAATAAATATTTAAATCATACAGTTATAACTTTGCAAATGCTGATACTGTGTTATGTCAGTATTTGTCAACTAATTTGCGACCACCGTGTTTTCGTCCGTTTATTTGCTGTGATGTGGTGCTTTGTTTATAATTTTGAGTTCTGTTCGAAATAATCGTGTTCTTAAAATATATGACGGTCAGAAATGCAATTATAAGCCCAATGTTTTCAAAGATAGAGAAGTTCTGGTAGCGCGGTGACACTGAACTAACTCGTAGCTGTCAAAAGCTTGAAAAGAAATAAGAAGATGAACTTTGGCAGGTGGGTAGAGTTGTGTTTCTTTTAACCATCTTTAAAGGTTTCGCGTTTTTACATTTAAAGGAGGAAGAATTGGGGGGTGCGCATTTCCAATACGTCGATAATATCCTTGTCAACCCATTTGCTACCACCGTGTTTTTGTCTGTTTGATTCCTGTGATGTGGTGCGTTTTTTATACAGGTACTGGTAAGTCACCGAATATGATTTCTTGGAGAATTGTTCTGCGTGTCCATATATTTGAGAATTGCTCTCTTGTTATGTAGTAGAAAGGCTCTGAGATATGGTATACAAATAAATATTTTAGGATAATGTTATCACTTATATGCAAAGTATCTCAATACTAATTCTGAAAGACATGAAAATATATGGAGCATTCGTGATAGTCCTCTACAGTGGGACAGAACAGGATTTTGCAGTAAAGGTAAGTTAGCGGCGGAACGATATTACGGTAAAACAGCGACACTGTTCGGAATAGCCAACATGTTGCGCTCATAAATTCTCATCGGCAGATTGGTGGGAAATAACCTGGTGACAATTCCTGTTCATCCCAACTTTAGTTGGAGAGGACAGTGAAAGACAAACGCAACTTAAAGCCAAGGTAATTTTATCTT